CAGGTGGGTGGATCTCAGCAGACTGCAGAAACCTGTGTAAGCCCCAAGGCTCTGCTCCCAGCACGGGGGAGAGGAATCTCAGCAAGGGACCCAAAAGCRTGAGCACATCTGCTGGGGAGCTTTTCAAAGAGTCAACAGAGGTGGCCAGGCAAGCTCTGACCTTGCTCTGGGCTACAGCTGTGAACCCTTTTTAGCACAATAGAGACCTCCATCCTTCTCTCCAGGTACCTGAGCTGGAGTCACCTTTTTCTTTTTTTATTTTTTTTTTTAAGAGCTTCTGTGTCCACTGGTGAGTGGTTGAGGCAGGGGAGATGTGCCAGCAAGACTTTCACTCTGCTGGTCATGAACTGAGTGAGCATCACCCACTGTTTCACAGGGCAGAAGGAGGAGACACTCCCTCAGGAAGAAGATGAGGGTGAGAAGGAGRAGGAGAAGAARGAAAAGGAAGAGGRGAAAATGATGGAGGAGCTGTTCTYTCTTCTCTGCTGATACCTTTCCAGCCTGCTGCAGAGAGCATTGTCCAAGAGAGAGGACCAGAGCAGTGACCATGCTTCCACTGCTCAATAATTTGGGAACTCACCTGGCAAGAAACACCTTTTCAATTGTGCCATCTGGGTGTTTTGTATTAAACAGTTACTAAAATACAGAATGTACCCTCACTGTGTCTCTGGGACACAGACACCCGCAGGACTGGCCATATACTCCATCCACCAGGCTACAGAGATGTGCACTTTTTCTCATGCACTCTTTTTTCAGGTGTCTCAGCCTCACCAGCCTCTGCCACCGTGGAGGGAGTCAGTGTCAGTGCCTGCTGCTGTTTGGTGCATGCAGCTGGCGTGGGTGAGTTTCACTCAAGGGAAGCTTTGAACACAATTTCCCAGCTCTTACAGAAGCGTTTCACAGTGAGCTTGTTACATAAAAGACAGGTAACATCTCCTCCTCCTCCCTTGCCTACCTTCTGCAAGGAAACCAGCAGCTAAAATGTATTTTGTGGAGAGCTTGATCTTGACACTCCAGGTCAAGTGTTGAAAGTGCATGTTGATAGTGTAGGATGTTCAGAGGGCTTGGGGAAAGAAATCTCCCAGTTTTTAGCCCCAAAGTGGGTTTACTGGGGAGATAAACAGTGTGCTTGACTGGGTGAATTTTTTTTCGATGAGCCTCAGTGAACTTGAAGGTAAAATAATGAGGAAATGTTCCTAGACAAAACTGCGGCATAAGTGACCACGAGTGACCTAAGGGTGCCTGTTTTGTCCTGTATATGCACACAGAAATCAGATTTCAATATGATTTTTAAAAACTGAAGATTCTTGACAGTATCCCGCCAGATTTCAAAATGGCAACTACAGATACTGGAGTATCTTGATTTATAGAATTGATCTGGTGTTAATAGCAATTTGTATTTTTTTCTGTGTAAGATAATAAAAATACTTAAGGGCTGATTTGCTGCTTATTTGACTTTCTCACCTCTGCCTTTAAGATTTACTTTGGAACTCATCACAGATCATGATTTCCCATATTGTCATTTACTGGTAGTATTTTTCCCCCATATATTTTTTTCCTTTCAGATAGCCAAGTAAAACATGCACAAGCCACAGCTTTTGGCTCATATATTCCAAATGGCCTTTTATGTTGTCTTTTCTCTTACAGCTGCTTATGCCATTTCTTAAATTATCTCATCATACATAACATGTTGGGCCCTAAAGTTGAGATTAAATGCCAGGTATAGGATCAGGTCTACCATCTCTCTAGCTTGAACCTTGAATTACAGAAGTTTGCTGAGAGAAGGAAATACACAGTATATTCTGTGTAAACTGTAGATTCATAGTGAAAATTAATAATACTGGGAAAGAAAATTAATGGATTGAAAGATACTAAAGTGGCTCTGTTCTGATGCTTTTAGGTAAAATAATATATTCTGAAAAGTCACTTTTGTTCTAAGTTAAGGTGGGAGCTATATGTTAATTTCTTTTATTCCTGGATCATTTTCTCTCTGAGGTGTCATCAAGTTGAGTTTTCAGTACTACATTGAAATGCATATTCATCACAGAGTTACAGCTTTTGAAAAATCTGTAGGGAAAAAGAAAAAAAAAAAAMCCCAACCCCTTTTCTTCCCCCTCTTCATGCAGCTCTGAACACTCCCAGCTCCCTCGGGTTAGCAAAGCAGCCCCCAGCACCCGTGTGCTCCTCAGCATGRGCTTTGAGCTCTCCAGCTGTCCCCKCATGTGGGACCAAGGGGTGTGACACAAATGCAARGGTTTGCAGGGTTTGGGGCTGCAGGAACAATGAGAACAATGAGAACAATCAGGGGTAGCCCTGGTACTCCCTCAGGGAGATGGAGCTGCTTGAGCTCATTACTGTTGGGCAGAAACCCCTCTGGGAGGTGGAGCAGTTAAAAAGCAACTTTGGGTGTTTGTGACCAGAGCTGCTGTGAGCAGCCCTCCACTACTGAAAAAACCTGACAGATGATCAGGAAAATGGACAAAATGGCATTAATGGGTAAATCAAATTGTGTGGGTACTGAATTGGGGGCAGGAAGTTTAGGAAATGATTGAAATGTGGGGCATGTCACAGCTGTCACTGCTCAATAGTGTGGTTTTAAAAATCTGATGGATAAAATGGAGCAACAAGGTGAATCCCTTGGCTCACGAGACAGGTGGAGCTTTTCACTAACATTCTCTTTAAGAGCTGTGTTTTAAAAGCAATTTCAGTGCTGGTGGGAATAACACTGTAATAAAATTCACAGAGGGTTTGCAATTTAGAAATGAGGGGAAACTCTTTCACGAGGGTGAGACTGGGCCGGTGCAGCCAAACCCTTCTAAAAGCTCAAGAGATGAAGCCTCTGCCAGACCCTTGGCTCCTGCTGCTCCCATGGCAATCAGTGAAATGCCCTCAGTGGCACATACAGTATTTGTCCAGGCAAAAAATCACCTTCTTATTATGAACTCTACTGATTTTTTTCCTGATCTTAACACATATTCTCTACATTCTACCTCAATAATGATACATGGACTTCTGGCCTCAATGAGTAAGGAAAAGGCTGCATTTAGTGCCACATAGTGGTAAAAAAAAAAAAAATCTCAGTGAGGATGATTATTCCAAAGCAATGCAGAACATTAGATGATAATGTAAAACTTGTAAAAGTAATGTAATGTTAAACTTGTAAAAGTAAGAATACATTTCAAAAATATTAGGATACGCTGATCAATTTGTGACATTCATCAGCAAGGTTTCTTCATCTGAGGATGGTTCATACCACTAGCTTGTGAGATGGGCAATATCGGGAATTTGACTCTGTGTTTAGAATCAGCTTGCTTTGCAACAAGCAGAGCATTTTGCTCATTTACAGCCTTGACAAAATAGCGAGRGATGTGATAGTGGAATCTACCCTCACAAGTGGTGAACTGCACAGAAGCCACAGGGCAGAGCCAGGCTGGATTACAGCTGTAAAGGTATTTAAAAAAATGGAAATATTGTAGAGCGGTCTCTGAAAAAAAAAGGCTGAATTGGCATCTCTTGATTGGGAAGAATTTTGCCCATTTTGGTGATGAATAGTTTTTTTACTCAGGCAATGTATAAAAATATTACTATTGTCAACAACTCAGGCAATGGTGCTTCTACAAGTGCAATGGATGTGTTACGATTCATCTCCAGTCATCCAGCATCAGAGCAAGCTAGATAACAACACTTGTAATGGTTAAAACTGGCTGAAATAAACCAATCAGACCAAATTTCCCCAGTGAGTTYCCCAAAAGATGAATACACCTAAACAATGTATGTTTGTATAGGGTTATGACTGGGTCAAACCTGTGGCATAACTTCAGATTTATGAAACACAGTGAAACTGAGCTCTTATTCCAGACATGCAGCTCATTGTACCAGGCTCCATCAGGAAGGGGAAAATGTTTCTGCAGTTAAAGCAGAGCTCTACACCTACAGAGCTCTTGTTCCTGCCTTTGCTGTGTTGTGTGATCTTTCAGGGGCTCCAGAGTGTTGCAGGGAGTTGTGGCACCTCTGCCTACAGAGCTCGTTTGCAGGAGCAGTGGGACAGGGAAAGATTTGGCTTTTGATATAGGAGAGGAATAGCACCAAACAGGACTGTTCTGGAGATGAAGGAACAAAATTTAATGTTTTTGCAGTTTGCATTGGGATGCTCACCTGCAAAGCACTTCAAAATACAGGTTTGATTCAGTCTTGCTCCAGTTGCAGAGCTGCAGCTGATGTTTGGTGCCTACTCCTCTGAAAGCAAACCCTTCCATTTCTCCACACAGGCACTGCTCAGGTAAGGAAGCAATAGCTGCTGCCAKAAGTCTTGCTTCAGGCAAAAATATTATGGCATGCTATTTGGTAGGATATTTAATGTAATRGTGGCAATGTAATGTAATGGTACAAAAGTCTTATGGTGTCATAGGAAGTAAAACTATATGATCTGGGTGAGATGGATCAGCAGCACTGACTGTGCACAAAACTGCACWGAATTCTCCATGCTGGGGAAAAAAAGAAAAAGATGTTTGGGCTTGTTTTTCTGTTCAAACCAGCCTACAAGGAGCCTATAAGACAACCCTGCAACAACCACACAGCTGAGAGCACCAAACGGGCTCAAAAGTGGTGCCAGTGAGGCCTGTCCTGTACAGCTGTGTGGCACATGTGCGTTTGGGCCACATCCCAGGGATGCTGATGTATAAAAACAGCCTCCAGCTGATTCATGGCTCCAGCAGYGTTCTTCACTGGGATGAATATTGAACCTTCTGGCTAAGAAAAGAGTTAAAAAGCAGAAAAAGGGAGAAAATACTCAGTGTGCGTTAGTGTGAGCCATTAAACCCAGGCTGTYCCACAAATGAGAAGAAATTAACATTCAGGGCAGGGAATTAAGCTCAGTAGGGTTTATTTTTACAGTCCAACATGCTTTCAAACTTCATGGCAGTACATGGAAGGAGTGAAGGGATCCATATCAGTAGCATATGGAGCACAKGCAAAGACAACTTGTGTGAGTAGTTTGACAATTATCTGGCTGCATTCTGCTCAAAATATTTGTGACAGCAGCAAGTCAGAGCTGCCACAAAGATGACAAATTCTTTGAAGTCCACTTGGGAATCTCCATTTTCATCCAGGTTCTTGAAGACTTTATCAATAGCATCCCTGTCCTTCCCAGCCTGCAAAAGAAAAAGAGCAGTTGAGGTGAGATCATGTGCTCCTGGGTTTGTTCCACCTGCGAGCTGCAGTCATGCACTGTCACAGAGAGGCGTTTGCTGCACCTAAACCAGCGTTTATCCTGATTAAAGCTGTGTGACACAGAGCCCTGGGGACACTGCCCAGATGAATTAAATGCTGTGAGTTCCCCATCCGCTCCCCTGGAAAGGCTCAGCTGGAGCTCCGGCAGTTTGCAGATTTGCAAAATGATGCTTTCCTGGGGCAAATGTTGAATTTAAGCTTCACTGAATACCTCCATCCCAGAAAAGATGCAAACAGCCTCAAAAGTGCTTCGAGTGCTGCCACCAGCTTTGTGCCCAACGGAAGCTGCTCAGGAGAGCTGGTGGCTGGGAAGGTGCCTCCTGAAGCCTGCAGGATGCTGAGCTTGAATTACCACAGCAGATCTTTTTCTAAGTTGTCATTATTCTTCGAAGCTGCCATTATTCTGATGGAATGACTGAACACAGTCATCAGTCACAGGCAGCACAGCTTCATGAGAGGGAGGTCCTGCTTATCAAGACTTGATTTCCTTTTACAACAAAGTAACCCACCTAGATGATCAAGGGAAGCCATTGCATGTCACCTTTTTGCATTTCAGTAAAGCTTTCAGGACTTTTTCAGTCTCTGACGGGATCCTTCTGGACACGATGTCCAGCTCACAGCTGGATAAACACATCCTGCAATGGGTGAGCAATGGCTCATGGGTGGGGCACAAAGGGTTACAATGAATGGGGGACATCAGACTGGCAATCTGTCACTCCTAGAGTCACAAAGGGCTCCATCTTCGGCCCTGTGCTCTTTAACATCTTCATAAATGACTTGGACATGGAGCTGGAAGGGATATTGAACAAGTTTGCAGGTGATGAAAAAATGAGAGGAGCTACTGACTCTGTTGAAGGCAGGCAGGCCCTGTAGAGAGACCTCAACAAATAAGGGGAAAGAGAAATCACCAGCCATACAAGGGGAATGTGGGAAAGTGCTGGATCCTGCTCCTGGAATGGGGAAATCCTGGATGTACAGACAGACAGGGGAGTGAGATGCTGGAAAGCAGCACCGTGGAAAAGGACCTGGTGGTCCTGGTCTGTGGAAAGATGAACAGAGTCAGCAGCGCCCTGGCAGTCAGGAGGGCCAACCCTGTCCTGGGGGCATCAGGCACAGCATCACCAGCCGGGCAAGGGAGGGGATTGTCCTGCTCTGCTCTGAGCTGGGACAGCCTCACCTCGAGTGCTGGGGCAGTTTGGGGTGCCACAATATAAGAAACAAATCTAACTGTTAGAGAGTGTCCGAAGGAGGGCTACAAAGATAGTGAAGGTCCTTGAGGGCACCAATCTGTGTGAGGAGTGACGGAGGTCACTGGGTCTGTTCAGCCTGGAGGAGAGGAGACTCAGGGGAGACCTCATTGCAGTTACAATTTCCCTGTGAGGAGGAGGGGCAGGTGCTACTCTCTTCTCTCTGGTAAGAGCGACAGGACACCAGGGAATGGCCTGAAGTTGTGTCAGGGGAGGTTAAGGTTGGAAATTAGAAAAAAGTTCTTCACCCAGAGGGTGATGGAGCTTTGGGACAGACTCCCCAGGGAAGTGGTCACAGCACCAAGCCTGAGAGAGTTCAAGAAGCTTCTGGACACCACTCTAGGCACATGGTGTGACTCTTGGGGATGTCCTGTGCAGGGCCAGAGGATGGACTCAGTGATCCTTGTGGGTCCATTCCAACTCAGCTCATTCTGTGCTTCTGTGATTCTGTGAACCAGTACATCTCAAGAATGATGCYAAGCAAGGCATCATCCAAGTAAAGCATGTTTTTTTTTGTTTTTTGTTTGTTGGTTGGTTTATTGTTCGTGGTTTTTTTTTCCCCCCATTATGCAAAAATATATTAAAAAAAGTAGTTGTTTTCTAACATAGCTTACAGGAAGGCTTTTTGGCTCTGATCATCTACGGGGGTTTAAGAACCTGCAATTTTAAAATTAAACAGGAGATGGCAGTACAGACCTGTTTAATCTCGGAAATAACCGTGTGGATTTTGCTGAAGACAAACAAAAAAAATTTGATATTATATTAGAAAGAATTATATAAGCTTTTGGAAAATGTCTACCAATTTAAAATAATTACTACCTTAATTTAATTTTCAAGGCATTTTTAATCGTGGTCTAATTAACTAAATTTCTCATTCTGCAATTTAATGTATTACTTTAAATACTTAGTATGTAATGTATCAATTTAAATACAGTGCCTTTACAATCACTAAAAATTGAACCAGTTCCCTAGATTTGACTGATGAGTGTGTCTGGAAAGTTTTCAACAGTTCCACTTTGTAAATTACATTGTTTTAATTTTGTAAATTAATATTTAAAAATATTTAGTGAACTATATGAACTAGTTTTAGCCTCTGAAATATCTGTGAAATGAACAAGTGGGAACTGTTTTTTGGAAACTCTTTAGAGTCCAGTCTTTCAGTCCTGTAGTATTCCTACCCTGTTGATTCGAGACAGATGAGAGCTGTGTCAGCTACATCCAATTCTAAGGCCAAAAGTATACATGAGTAACTAAAAACATTGTTTCCTAGAATTGCTTGCAAATAAAGTAGTGTGAATCCAAATGGCCGCAAAATGCAGGTAGAACTTATTTTCTGAAGTCAGATTTATGTTCTTCATCTTTTTCTTGCAGTTACCAGTCATCAGTCTGGCAGGACAGGAACAAGGAATATGT